GCTCATAAATTTGGTATAGTTTCATATAAATGAGACATATTGACCATAAATTCCACCAAAAAGTGTAAAAATAGTGGTAATGAGTTGGAATGGAGTTGGCTAAGAAGGTGTAACACAGAATTGGGTGATAAGTTAAACTGGATGCTTTAAAACCAGGCAAACCAGACCAGGTCAATTTTGACCCGGGAGGACAAAAAGTACATGGTCGATGTGAAGACAACAAGGCAGGAAAATTCAGTGCGCTTGCATACACGGCAGGGTGTTCAGGGAACCACTGTTTCCCTTGAAAAAAAACCGTTTTGCTACGTTTTGTCTGCGCCGAACTTGGCCCTTAGAAGTGGTAATGCCCAAAACGGACGCCTAAATAGGGTGTTTGATGCAGTTTTTAATTTAATATATATTTTTTAATGTTATTATACAGTCTATGATTTTATGTTGACTTACGACGACCATAGCTTACCTGGTCGCAGCAGGAAAAAAACGTTTCTCCTTGTTTCTGCTGGTAATGGGGCAGTGGATAAGACACAAGACTTCGGTGTGAGAGACCTCGGTTCAAATCCTGTGAGATACCATGTCCCTGAGCTAGGGACTTAATCCCTAGTTGCTTCAGAGGCGTGCGACCTCTGACATTTATAGCAATTAGAAGTTGCTTTTGATGAAAGCATCAGCTAAATGAATAAATGTAAATCAACCAAAACTGTATTGTTTGAATCAAACTCATTGGTGTAGAATTTAGTAGGGACCAGGTTATCCAGCAACAATTGTCTTTAGCAATAATTTAATCAAACTAATTAAATATCCACTGTTGTCCATCAGGGTCTGTAGTCAATGTAACGTTATCTGGTACACACAGTCTGCCCTTGCTGTCGACCTTTTGACAGATTACAGCATGAGTCCAGGTGAACGTTTGATCTCTTCATGCATGCATATTGTCGGGGCAATTCTGTAATACTGCTACCTTTAAATGAAAGCCCAGTCAAAAGGGTCAGCCTCTCTACAGGAGGGTCACGGATGGCAGAGAGTTAACAGTTGTTGCCTCTTGAGTTTTAGATGTAGTTTCTGGTTAGTTTACTAGCTAGCTGTAATTAAAGTAATTAGCTATTCTCCCATAGCTAGGTGTAACTGGTTTGTGTCAAATTACCTTGTACAACGTCAGTAAAATGCAATGACCAACCACAGCATTGCTGTGCTAGCTAGTGTTGCCAACTTTGTCAATATGAAATAAGGGACAAAAAGTGGCCTGCTGCAGCTGTGCGGGTATGGTTTTGTGTGAATATACAGTGTATTGTTTCAAGGAATTTGTCATAATGATACTTAATATCTTAATTAAATATTGGGTAGGTTTAAAAATAGTAATAATTTACAGCAGGTACCTTTAGCACAGTCCTTTTATTGAACCACTACCTGTTACCTTTACTATTTGTCTAATACAAAACACTTGTGACTCTTGCACTGTCGGTTAGAAAAGATTATCCCCTTCATGTAGATATGACAAACTAAAAAGAACATAGCTTCTATATGCTGGATCTTTACTATTAAACACTTGTGATGTGTTTTATTCCCAGTTCATGCTTTGTCAGGCAGTTCATCAGAACTTGATGAATAGTCTACCATTTGCAGTTTTATCACTATTTTCATAAAAGTCAAGTAACTTGCACCGTACTCCATCAGACACAAAAAAATATCTCACTCACACTGGAAAAAGTTTTCTGTTTCCCTTGTTTGAGACGTCGGTGGTAAAACACAGGCTCACCTTGAGTCGGGGATAGATCATTCAGGATATCCCGCACAGTCTTTGGTCGTAAAACATTCATTGTGGTCACCTCGGCTTTTGTTCTTAAGTGCATCTTCTTCACAGCATTCGAGTCATGAAACAACACACTGTTTAGCTTAACAAGACAGTTGGTGCTGAAGTCCATGTTTGACAGTGTGATACACGTACGAGGCTTCACTTGCAACTATTTTGTCAATTTCACAGTAGCTGCATTTAAAGTATACTGAGCTTGCTGTATCAGTCATTGGATAGATCAGTGTAGTAGTCAATAAATGGGACAACAGAGGTCACGTATGGGACAAATCAATTAGGCCTAATATAAGGGACATCCTGGCTAATATGGTACAGTTGGCAACCCTAGTGCTGGCACAAGTGTCTTGCAATTCACACCACGATATGAGTAAGCCCTTTTTGCTCCAAAAGTTGAAACACCAAATATATTTCTGCCCCAAGCTCCAGTAGCATGCTGGTATTAACATGGGGTCTTTGGTGCCTGCAGAATGAATGGAGAATAACTTTGTTCAAGGTCACAAGCAAAGGTCAAAATGTGATGTTAATACCAGGTGAGAAAGTTCACAGTTCACTATATTTTTTGCGCAATTTGACAATTAGAGAAATTGGTCTGTTTCATGCTTCCTGACCACCACACAAGATATTCAATTGGACTTCCACCATGCACATATTGAGTATATATAGATATACTATATATATATATATAGTTTTGTAATTGGCTGTATAGAGCTTTGTCCCTGTTGGTCTAGTCCTGCTGGAACTATGCATAGCATAGCTGTTGAATCTGACAGTAACTTAAGTTACACAGATAGTTGATTTTCCGGCAAGTTTATATCCATGTCCCAAAACCAAATTGCTGCTGGCCTCCTTAAGGTAAGTGAAGACTGAGCCCAGACTTAGTACAGTTGGGAAGGATACAGCAGGAGAACCTTTTTGCCTCAGAATCATTTAATGGACCGCCCTTTGTAGGTTTACCACTTTGAACTGACTACCTGTTCAGTCAAGATGCGCTGGCATACACCTGTCCAAATAGCCTTCTACTCAGCTGTTCTAGATGATGCTACGCAAAACAAACAAGAAGAGCCAGTGGTGCTGGTGAATGCTTTGGCCTGTCCTACAGGATCTTCTGTCATAGGGGTCTTGTGGCTTCCCTGCCCAGATTATTAACTGGTATGTTTTACCTCTGCAGTAACAGAATCGCTTGGGTAAATCAGAATCACAGTGATAAGGCCAACACTCAGACTAAAAGTAACTCAAGATCGCCCTCTACTGGAATGCTTTATATCAGTAGATAGATGATTGATGAGGAGTCATTTTGTGACCTTACCCCTCATTAATTCCTAAAACACCAACTCTCAAGTCTTGCCGTGTTTGTTTCCAAACAACTGGAAGAATAGCAATAGTGTTAATGTCAATCTCTGCCCTGTTTAAGTTCTTAAAGTTTATGGCAGCAGCTGACATTATAACTTGGGCTTACACACTCAACGGTTTGCATGTCCATAAGCTATCATTCGACCAGGGCTGCTCTGAAAGGTGTTTCAGCATGTGACAATTTCCCAGCTTTATCCTGTGCTTTGAAATGCTTTCAGTATGGTAATCAGAATTACAGCCAGCATGTTCTTTTGTCTGGAGTGATGTGCCAAAAGGTTGCATATAGTAGAAGTGTATTATACATGTGAATAGCAACCTGTTAAGAACGCACTGCTGTCATAGATGACAACAATAATTTTAGCACCTTGATTAGTAGTAGATCTCTATGAATGAAATGAAATGAAATGAAATGAAATAAAAATTATGCCCTTGGTTCAGATGAGGATAAGGAATGCAACTTCCCCCAGACCACATGATAATAACTTCATACAACGTAATGATTTATTTACATAGCAAATAGGAAAACAACAGATTGCATTCTTCTATTATAGTCTATTATAAACATTTGGCAGCTGTCCACAGATGTAGCTTCGTGTCTGTCCAGGAGAGGGTAGTATTTAACATGGAGCACATTGGAAATGTGGTGATGGACTTTCAAAATTAATGAAAATCACTAAATTAAACACATTAAATGCATGACACACCTAAAATGGCCTTGGCATGCTGCATGAGAAAACACATTGGAAAACACTGGGGTGTGGGCTTTTTGCATTAAGATAATGTGTCTGGTTTTTCATTGTAATGTCTATAGTCTCATAATTAATAAGTGAATTCACACATTGGGCAAACCCTCCAATGCTTCCTCTTAGGGATTGTTGACTGCTGTTACATTTTGAATCTGAAGTGAATCTAAGTTATTAAGCAGTAAATCATAAAAAAAACATATCATCGGGATAATAGAAACTAATTGATAAATTACCTTTTGATTTCATTTTTTGACTCTCCAATATTTATTTACCTACACAGACATTCTGTGTAAACCTTGACATCAAAGGCTGCAAAGCCTAAAAAGAGCACAATACTTCTGGCAGGGAAATCGGTCTGGAAAAAAAAATGTTGCATGGTTTGTTTTTTATTAAACATTTTCGCCAGTAGATGGCGGCAATGTAAATCAAATGACAATATCAAGTATTGCTGTGCAGATTTCAGCAACATTAAGCACAGAATTCTCCCTGTTGCAGGGAGAATCACTTTCAACTCCAGGATCACCATACTCTGAAAACGAAATAAAATGGCCTGTCCTGTTTAATCCCATCCCACCTCATACATATGTAACTGTCAAAGTATATGGCTTCCAATCCATTTTCTCATTATACAAAGTCATGAGAAAGAACCAAATAGCAACACAGTGCCCTTTTAACATATGGTCTCTTACTTGTAGCAGTGACTGTCAGTATCTCCTTTAGTAGGCTATAAAATTATATTTTGCTCTGTTACAGAAACAAATAAACATAGATATAATTAAACAATTTTAATTTGTAGATTAGAAGTAGGGCAGTGGAATTGAAATTACCTAATCTAAATGGTTAATGTTAATGTAATGTTATGTTCTACGTTATTCTGCTGTAACACAGTTACTACAAAAAAACTTAACAGTTAATTTCGGGGTCACAAAAAGTCTCAGGAAAACGTTCAATTGTGCTGCAAATGCTGTGGGTAAAATATATAGGCCTAATGAATGTTTGTTTGTTTTGTTTAGGTTGATAAGACCACGGGCAAATGTTTAGTGTTTTTTTTTGTAATAAGGATACTGACACTGCCAGTCCCCATACATATGCAGTGAGTTTTAGTTGGGGCACTTAGCTGAAGTAAACAGAAAGGGAGGGGAGTGTGCGCAAAGCTTTGGGAAGGGGCATGCATGCAGACAACCGATCACTGCAAAGTGCTGAGCGCGGTACAGACTGGCTGTAGCCCACACCACTCTTTCCTCTGTCCAAGAGAAGACCCCAAACCTCTGCTGTGAGGCGCTCACACTCATCACAATAATGTGAAAATCAGACGGAAACGTTTGTCAGATGTTCAAACTCATCGTCGCTTCATTGTACTTCAGTGCCGTCCTTTTTCAACACTGTCACACAGTTTGCAGTCAGACTACTGTAGGCTATCCACGAGGCTACCTGGTGTGAGATGCGGCAATGTCCCGAGGAATATGCCCACGCGTAAACTCCTGCGGATCCTTTTGGATATTGTCAGCGGTCGTATTTGCGGTGAGTGTGATCGACGCGGACGCATACAGCTGTCATGAAGTGAGGACCGCTTTCCAGCTGCGGCAGGTCGGACCGCTGAACCGCGTTCCGGAGACACCTGGCACAGGTGAGCCAGTGGGTTTGGCTTCTAGTGAAGAGTAGCCTTCTTTGATAAGGGTACCTGCAAACATCAAATGTTTTGCTCATAGATCTGCAGACAGAAGTCACACATTTAGGTTAGACTACAATCATTGCGATTTCAGCATATGCCCTGTGTGTGTATATATATTATGGTCCAGTGCTTCTAACTATAATGTGCTTCTGTCAAAAACACACGTGGGTCAGTACACATGCACTGTGAGAGGTCTCCAAAAAGCAAAAGTAAGCCCAATCAAGTGACAGCAGCAAAAGTTTGAAAGGCTGTCTAGGCTGCAGATATTGCTTCCTTTGCTTTTGTCATATTGTCTCTCCCGTATTAGTCCTGTTAGTTGAAGAGACTTTTAGAGGGTTTTGACCATAAAATATCTATTTCTGATGAAGTGTATTGTAAACTGCCAAATCTGAGATGATCTTAAAGTAACATCTGAAATGTGTCTGTCCCTTTTCATCAAATTCCAAGGATCTGTCCATCATTGTACATTCTGAGCATCCTGATTTTTTCCACCCACCAAGAATCACAAATCTCTGTGTTAGTATGTAATATTACATGTTTCCCATATCTGATCTGTCTGGTTTAAAGCATCAGAGCCTCTTGATTTACTCCACAATTTGCAGCTTCACATGGTACCCAGCTGCTTATCTTACAATCCAGCAGTTTGGAGAGATTTAAACAATTATTTAGCAAATTTTTTTGGCAGAAAGCCACCCAGCGCATCCAAAAGCTGCTGAGACAGGGTTTTTGAGCTAGAACAAGTCTACTGTGATGTGGAGGTCTGGTGTGGTTTAATCTCTCTGGATAAAGAGGCTACAGTGTTGTGTCCACAACACGGGGAGGTGATTAATTTGCAGAAGTCAGTCACCACCAACCCTTTTGGCCATGAGTCTTTAGATACTTGGGGTGGTATAGGCCCTTAAGCTGACATGTACTTCAGCTCAGGAGCCACAGTTTATGAGAAGAGATTCTCCAGACTCCTACAATATGCCTATAGAGTCTTTTGGCACCTATTAGATTTTTTGTTAGAGTGATGCTTGAAAGCAGCTTCAGATGCATTGAAGGTTTTGTGGAATGTGCTTTCCTCCTGCACTCAGAGGAAAAGTTATTTTATGAGGATAAACATTGGTTCCAAATCTGTTTTGGAGGCAAAACACATTTTGAGTGGGTTTAGGCTTTGGTTCAACTATGCTAGTTTTGCTTGAAAGTCATTCTGCAAGCATAGTAAGAGACTTCATCTCTTAAGTGATTATGTCATATTTCTTTCATGTGGGGTCATTTCAATTGTCATATATTTCAACAACTCAACAGCAACTCATATAAAACTCAACAAATCTGTATATTTAGTCGGCATTATAATTATATTTTTTCTCCAGTCTTTAAAATCTTTTAATAGTTACTTTAAATGCCTTCTCTTTTATTGTGATTCTTTTAGCCTCAGGGTTATCTAAGATTTAAATGCATTTTTCCTCGTAAATACTCAAATACCAGTTGATATGTGATGTACAACTATCTAAATGACTACAGACCAGATTGCTTGCTGCAAAAGTGTCACATGCTGGTTGGTGGGAGCTTAAGTATCGCCCAGTCTGAGTCTGCAAGCTGTAACAGGGAGAAGAGCAATAGATAGCTGTGTGGGAAACATACCTACGGGTGCATCCAAACCACTTGATATGTTTGTTTAGTAGGGTGTCACTACTAGCAACAGAGGACGTCAATTTCATTACAAGCAGTAGTTTAGGGTTAGCTCTTAAAGACAACGGAAGGACCTTGGTCTTCTGAGGATGTTAGCAGTCTGGAGCAAGGCTTGCGTGACATGCTTTTACTTCTGCAGTGCATTGGAAGCTACATATGAGAATCTTTGGCGTGCATTTGAGCTTTTTACCTGACAGTGAGCAAACAGAAACATACACACACGCAGTATATTGTGAAAGATATGCAATACTCTTTCCTTTTAATGAGTTTTCTTCCCCCACCTCTAACCCCATCACAGTAAGATATTTTATTTCTTAGACCCACTCTCTATCTATAGACATTTTTAGAAAACGGGGCTGATATGAGCCAGATACAAGCTGAGGCTTCTTGGTCTGGACTATTAATTGATATAAATATTTGTGTTTGTTTAGAAGGTGTGGTGAACTGCATTTTTTGTGCATTTACACTCCACCACCTCTCTGCTGTCCCTTCCCCTCACAGCTAATCAAACATTGCTGTAGCTTCCCCGGTACATTTTGGGCTTCTATCTTATTTTGCTTTTTATTTGTACTTGTCCCAGAGAGGTTGTTTTGGGTCAGGCGCAATCTTGTCTTCAAAGCGGTGACCAATGAAAGGGGGTGTTAGAGTAGGAGATTTGGTGTATATGTGTGTGTGTACACAATTATGCTACTCTGCTTCAGTTCTCAGATCAAATGCCAACAAAAGTAACTCTCGAAATTTGAAGTGGCAAAACTTCAGCCCTTTTCACAGTCTGATGTTTGTTTTAGGATACAGTGCTGCGTTTCATTCATGTGTGGTGAACAGATTTCTCACTAAGCGCCAGGAGTTTGGCAGCAGAGCACTTGGCCGGCCAATTGGATATGATCTTATACAAAAACAATTGCACTTTCACAGTACATATTTAATGCAATATTTCTTTGTATGTAATCCTTGTATCCTAATAAAGAGCAATAAGTAGTGATAGTGTCTTATGATTATTAAGAGCAATGTAATCTCATGTTGGGAAGCAGTGGTTGTACTTAAAAAAAATACAGTACTTGCAATAAATGTAGCAATAGCTCAATTAGTATGAATAGAAATTTTAGGCTATAAATTAAAATTCTTTATAGGTGAACCCCACACCCCAAACTACAATGTGGTTTAAAGGCATTTTATTTGAATTTATAGTAAAAAACAACACTTAACATTTAATTGCAAGTGTGTTAGTGAATGACCCTTAAAAGACTCTGGAGTATTTTACCACTACTATGTCCTAGTAGTATGTCCTTGTATTAAATCATTTTCTATCAAAATATTTGCTTTGACATTAAATGTTTGTTCCCTTGGCTATACTTTATAAAGAGTGACTATCTCCATGCCAGATCCGGCATCAAGGGAACTTAGATAATGAGTGACATGAAGTTGCTTATCCTGTGATTATTTTGAAGAGTTATGACCACTTTGGTACAGTGGTACACAGCCAAACACTCCATATTGAGATTACTCCGGGGTGCTGATATAGCCCTTTGGAGGCAGATCATTTGGAAGGCAGACGGCTAGCAGTGCTGTTCGCAGACACGCTGCTTCTGCAGTTGGCTTCTGGGATAATGTCCTCAGATATGATCAACCTATTTTACAGCTCAGTGAAGACTATCCCGTTGAGCAGGGCTTATCTGATTGTGTACATACCACCACACATAACCCCTTTTTTCAATATATTACTCTATTGCCGTTCTCTGGTTTACTGAGTCATTAACAGCTATTTTAGAGTGACAAGAAGTGTCATATTTTGAATACAAGGCAAGCAGGGTCATGTGTTAATAGCAAGGGAATGGGAACACAGTGTGTTATCACATGTCGCCACATCCTTAACCAGTTACAGCGTCAAAAGCCTTGGCAAGCTCTCAAAGCTCAACATGGTCTTTGATTGGCTGTATAGTTATTTTGTTTCCTTTTTTAACTTGGCCGTTCTCACTGAGAGAGCATACACATGGTCCACACCTAATCCATACACACTTAAAATCATTGAGCGTGTCTGTTTTCTTTTGCTGGCCATCTGTCAACTTCCTACTTCAATCTAATGTGAAATTCACATAAGAACATTTCCAGTTTAGTTTTACAAAACTAAAGCCTTTAAACATCTCTGACAGTGTCTTCAAGTAAAAAACACCGTACAGATTATTGAACTGACAAGCACCTCGGATGTTCTTTCTCCAGTCCATTCCAAACACTCCAGCCTTACCAGTTACCAGCTGCCCAGTTTGAACCAGATTGCTCTGTCTGAGCTGTTTCCTACACAACAACTCTTACTGGCTTTCAGCCTAAGTCTATCTTGTGTTTCAGTGGATTGTGTCCTACCTTACACTCCTGGGTTGTGATTGTGGTAGATCTGGTTGTGATTTTATGAGGTTAGTAGACTGCAAGTATATCATCTACCTCTCCAGTAATATAACTATCTAGAAAAAATGAACCTTCTCGCACTATAGATAAAGAAATAGTACATGAGATGAATACTGGTTTCTGAGAAGGAGAATAGATTATCTATGTTAACATAATTACTCAGTCAGTCTGTGGCTGGACACCCCTCTGGTATAATGCTGCTTCATCAGGTCTGCATATATCTGCTCACCAGTCATCCACTTCTCTCTTTAAGCTTTGTCCAACCTCTGCCCTCTGGGTTGGCTTTAGGCCTTGTGCCAATCACTGGAGGCAGTTTCATCTTGGGGTCTGGGGGATCTAAACATTCCAGTTCAGTTTCAAGGTTGTCCAAAAATGCAGGTATGCGGCAAAGACCCTTAGAAATGTATTTTCATTCAACATGGTCCATCCAAAATACTGCCAATCTGTATAGAGTAAATATCCTGTATGTTCAGTGGATCTGGGAACATCAAAGAGGAACCTGTTTCCTGAGGCAGGAGAAGGGTAACTGCATTAATTGCCTACTTTCTAACAAAGTTATTCTTGTTCTCAGAAAAATATCAAAACAGCAGAATCAGGAAACCGCAGCCCTCCGAGTCATCAACACATTCCAAATCAAAACAAAGTTGCCATACCATATTGAGGAGATGTGAGATATAGATCATTTTGGAGTGCAGGAGTGGGAGTGAGTTTAAAAAGGATGGTAATAACATAAGCATCTTCTCAGCAGTATACTTTATTCAGCTCTGCTACTGTTGTACCACTTATTGAGAATGGCATGTGAGTTAGCAGGGTAATTATACAGTGGTAGAGTTTCTCCGCTCAGCAGTTTTGACTTGTGCAATGAAGGGCACTGAGGTGTTGCTGAAGGGATTGTGACTAAGAAGTCAAGACCCCTGATCCATTGCTTTAATACGGCAAATTACTCCAGAGGTGTTTGTCACCTGAGGACGATTAAGCGAATTAGGATTCAGAGTTGACACATGGTCTGTAGTGCAATGTGTGTTAAGGTGTAGCCATGCAGAATGAGTAGCTTACACACTGGGCAATCACTAAGGGCCTGGAGAATTCAGTCTTCTTGGACGATTATATTAAGTCACATTGAAGTGTAAAATAAAGAGTTGTTATTTTAAATCAGAAGAAAAGCCACAGCTTGTATAAACTTTGAAATGTGTAAAATAAAATACAATCACCATAGCAAATGCTGCTAAAAGAGTTGGTCATTGCATGCCAACTAGCTGCATTTGTCAACTCATATATTCTGCATACTGTTCATTGTATCACTGTAGCCCTCATTGCATCCCAGGCTGGTTAGTCCCAACATTTGACTTATCTGTTCTCATAATTTTCAACATATATAATAATAATAATAATAATAATAATAATAATGATGATACAAATCCATGAGTAATCATGGTGTGCTGTCTGTGAAATTCACCAGTATCTGGAAGCTCCAGAAACGTATTAGTTAATTTTTAGTGCAAAAACTATATCATGATGAACTCCACAACAAAGATATTTAGGCCACCACAGGACACTTGTGTGACATATGGAACCCAGAGCTTAAAGTTCTCCGGCGCTGTGCCGGAATTCCGCCTTGAGGCGTTTTTGTATTCGACAATATATAAATATGTCTGGAAAATATTCTTGCATATTTTTTTACTGTAACGTGTTAGGTGTGTGTGAAGCGCCAGTCTTCCTCTGCACAATTGGTGGCTTGGTGTAGGTGTATACCAAAAGAAAGGGGACTGGCACTTCCTGGCGACGTGGACACTCTTTGGCTATTGTAGGCCGTGAACAGGGCATGGAAGTTTCTATTGGGTCAATTAAGGTGTCACTCAAAAAGTCAACGTGTAGACGCATTTTGTTTACATGCTAGCTGTAGTTAGGCTAAATAAAGCGACACAATAGCAGTCCGTGTGTATTTAATCATAATTGTTTTGAATGTATTACCTCAGATTTGTTAAGTGATCCCAGTGTTTCCCACAGAATGACAGTGTAACTGTGGCACCAGCTATAAACAATGTGGTAACCTCGACAACCCAGCTGTATTCTAACGTTAACTTAGCTCTTCTTATTAGCTAGGCTCCTTACGTGCTTGCTAATAACTTTTTTTAAGCTGGGCGTCCGACAGCGTTGTGTTGGACAGATTTGTGCAGCGGTGTTCATGAGGGAGAGAGAGAGAGGGGGACGAGCGAGAGGATGTGCTGCTTGAATGCACTACGGCGCTCTGCAATCAAATACCATTTTAAATATGCCTAGTAAAAAAGAAATTGAAAATCAATATGTGGCGATCAGCGTTGATATTGTGGCGGGCCGCCACAAATAGATGAACGTATGGGAAACACTGGATCCACTGTTTGACATTAAGTGTTTGTTCTGATCATAAAAATAGTTTAAAACCACAATTTTATTTTCCAGCAAGATTACAAGCCCAAAACATAAAATCAAACCTATACAAGAATGTCTTAAATGCAACAATGTTGATGTCTGGTTGTAGTCAAGTCAGTGACCATTCCAAATGAATGTTTGAAGCAGGACTTGAAAATTGTTGTTAAGTCATGGTCCCCAAGCAATTTGTCAGAGCTTGAGTAGTAAAAAATGTGTCCACATGTTCAAAACTGTTACTGTTTTGAAAGGTGCCTACTAAACTTTGACTGGAATAGGGTGACAATCTATACAAATATTTGGGATTCTTAGATATTTATTTTACATTGACATTAAATTCTTTAGAACCATCATTAAACCAAATGCTTTAATTCAATAAAACAATAAAAGGTGACAAGTGCAAGCAGAAGTCACTGTCTTTCAGAGGTGTATATAGTCAGTATTCCATGTACTGAAAATGTAAATGGAGTATGGTTAAAAATTACACGTTACTTAAAAAAAAGCAGGCAGTCAGATATTAATAGATATGTCTTACATTGTAGACTTCAATGACTGTTTGAGTCCTTGGAAGACTGCAGCTCGGAGTCCTCAATACATATTTTAGTTTAGCCTTCAGGCAGAAGCCACTATAATGCTTTTTGTTAATAAACGATATGTGAAATATTTTCAATATAGAAGACTTCAAGATACAAAAGAATGCACTCAGCAATATGTTTGTTGTTGGACACACAAGTAGTGACATGGCTACTAATGATTCCAGAAAACAGCCTGGTACATTCGTGACACATTCAGCCAATCCTGACTGCAGTGGTGGCTTTAACAGCCAAAGTCCTTCTGAGTATCACTTACTCCATGCAGCTACTCGCAAGGGACGGAGAGGCCAGGCTGAATTCCAATGTGAGTCCCTGGATATTAGTTTCATATCACAGATAACACACAAACACAAAGGAGAGAAAGAGCCAGCCAGTGGGGAGAACAGGGTCAGGGACAGATGGGGAGAGAGGACAGACACCATATATGGTGAAATGACAACATTAAAACAGAATTAACATTAACAACATGATTAAAACAATATCATACCTTCAAAGAGTAATGACTATGTGACAGGGACATCTTTTCCACGTGGCCAACAGTATGCTTTCCAGGAGCCACATTCATAAAGCATTTTGCTTTACCACTTAGGGTTCTAATAAACGGCACTAAAAATTTCACATTAAGACCTAATCACCGTCCTGCTGAGAGAAGAAGTTTAGCTTGTGATAGTGTTTCATGAATTGGCATATTTAAAATATCTACAATGATGTGGTCCCACTTGTGTGTAGACACTGCTATTTTTTGTTGGTGGTGGAAATTGAAAGGATATGAATTGATGGATAGATGCATAGTTGCACTTAGCCAGTAAAAAGTAGCTGAAATGTGTTCTTGGATTGCTTCTTTTAGTTGATGAGGTGGGTGTGATGAGCTCTGCTCTCACTAAAATACTGTGAAATTAAAAGTGAACAGTTTTAAAAAGGAGGGTGTCATTAAATATTTGATGGTCAAAGATTTAATGTCATTTATGCAAGGATATTAAGGATGAGCTGGACCTAGACTAAATACATAGAAACTACGTAACCATTATTTTTATGGGAGTTGCCCCTGATTAATTTAAGTATAATATATGTTTAGACCTGTAAATATCCATGGTTTGTATGTAGAAACAGACTGGGTTTCTCATTTTTATCACACTCAAATTTGTAAAAATGCACTATTAAGCCCGGTAGGTTTTACATTGGGATATAGAAGACGTAAGCCCAAAACAAACATGTATTGTATGCAAACTTTATACATTGATCGTCCAGCAGGTAAGCGACAGAAATAGCAGTATTCCTCAACACACACACGCACATACATGCGCACACAAACAAACAGGATAGGACTTTGCAGAAAGGGTGTCAACAGGGAAACAATGTCAACAGGGAGACAGTGTCAACAGTAAAAGAGTGGACTGAGATGGAGATAATGCGCTGGAAGGGGCGGGACAGCCAGTTATGACTTCACTCGTCTGCTCTAGGATGGGAACAAATGGAGCCTCACTGGGTAATTAAGAGACACCCAGGCCTCGCTAGGATATGCCAGGCAAATGGGAGAGAGGGAGCAGAAAGGGAAAGAGAGATTGAGAATGCAACCCTATTGTGTTTCATGGAGGGATTTGGACAGTGAGGCACTGGTCTTGCGGTCTGTCAGGCCATGCTTTAGGCTCTGGTTACAACACCTGCCTCCAGCCACCCCCGTCCAGCCCTCCCCTCTGTAAAATGAGTTTTCATATCAAACTTCAGCATTATGGAAATGTCCCTGTGCATGTGAATTTGTGCAAGGAAATTTGTGGGAAAGGACAATTTTAAGAGCCCATGCTAATTGTGACCAGTCTCAGTGATGTCATGACAATGTCTATATGTAGCGATGGTGAGAAGCAGGTGTCACTGGGAGGGCAGGGTGGACTCAGCTCAGAGGTTTCAGCTGATGTAATTGTGCCTGATTGAGCTGTTCTTTGGATCATAGTATTTCCAGTTAGGTCATTGCCTTCATGTGGTTGTTATGAACTGCAGTATTATGGCTAATGACTAGTCTAAAAGGTGATTTCACACAAATTACTGTGTGTATGATTGACAGTAAATTTTGCATTGCAAAACGCTAGTGCATGCATGTATTTTTTGTGTGTTTATGGGACATAAAGTCTACATGCAAGTACAAATGTATATCTTGACGACATGTGTGCAATCATATGAGCCAAAGATATTTATATATTTTGCGGAGACAGTATTTATAGCAGGAAACGTGGATGAATTCTTGATCTACTTTCTCACCCTCCCGTGGTGCCTCTTCTGTCTCCCAGTAGAGTTATGGCCTATCTATGTACATACACAGGACACTATACATATACTCACACTATGTATGTACATATGTATGTATGTATATATATATTTATGACATTTGTTTACAAAATTTATAATTTGCACTAATCAGTTATCATAACTCATCCAAACTTAAATACCTCAATTCTTCTGCACTTATATGTGTCACTGTATATGTTACCACTGACTGGAAAAAATATATATATATATAAATATATAATGTATATAAATGTTTGTCATTAAACATTTCTACTTGTATGTCTATTTCTGCTTGACTTTCCTAGATGTGGATCTATTGGTTTGTAAGCACCAGGGTCCGTCCTGCTGCACCCGGAAGATGGAGGAGAGCTACCAATTTGCTGTGAAAAGAGAAACCCTCCATAACATTCACTCCTACAGCTATGAGCTTGAGCACCTCATCTCTGGCCACTTGGATGCCTTTCAGGGTAAGTGCTAGGACAAAGGGTAGCTTTAAGCTTAGGTTAGAAGGGATTGGCCTGAGACACTGTGTTGGTGTTTATGGATAGGAAAGAGATGTTACATCTCTACCATTGCATGAGACCTTATATGTCTGAATGCTTCTACAAAGTATTAAATTTAAAAACTTGACCCAGCTTTAAGCTGACGTGAAACTAACCTATTGCACATTATTTAAATCCAAATTTAAAGAGGTGGTATTATGCTCATTTTCAGGTTCAAAATCTTATTTAGGGGTTGTACCAGAACAATTTTACATGGTTTAATTTTCAAAAAAACACCATATTTTTCTCATACTGCACATTGCTGCAGTTCTTCTTTTCACCCTATGCGTTGTACGTTCCGCTCTTGAGCTACAGAGTGATGCATCTTACTTGTACAAAATCTTTGTTGGGAGTTGCACATGCGCAGTTCCCAGGTAAGGACTACTAGCCAATCAGAAGCAGAGAAGGGCGGGTCGTAAGAAACAGTGCGATTAAAAAAAAATAAAGAAAAGAAAAAAAAAGAAACAGTGTGATCCAAATCAAAGCCGCTTCAGACTGCGACCGTAACCTAGCAGATGGTGTAAGTTACTCAAGTTCACAGCCACACAACATCATTGTTCCACATCTTACCATACCAGCTATAACTTTAGCTGTGTTAGACAACGTTTACAACAACTTCGCACTTGAACAGTCTGTAAAGTTACATTGCCGTGTTTATTTTAAATATAATTCACAGCCAATAAAGCATACTTACAGGTTGTGATTGTGAATTTCCAGGCCCAAACAGAGTCAGAGTTGCATCGTCTTTTAAGACTAAACGTTGAACTGTTGCCGGTGTTCTGACGATCTATGCTGTCTTGCCGAAAAATGCTACCATAGCGCAGATCGATAGACTCGACTCTACTCGGCCCTGCTCCGTTTTCCATTGCAGATAGTACCTAGAGATAGTAAGTATCTTGCCGTCATAGCGACGCCACACACAACTGCCGCGACGTAATGTTCAATGCGACACACACATCAGCGATCCACACAGCTTTCTCTTTCTTAAGTTAAAATGTTTCAACATTCCTCAGAATGTAAAGACATATAAGCGGTATGAAAACCTTCCAGTTGTGTTTACCTCTGCTGTTGTTGCTGCAGCGGTCTGTGTGACGGCGGGAGCAGAGGGCTCTGTGAGCGGGCCGCTGGCCTCACACACTCCTCCGGGTTGGCACAGGCTTCCCCGCAGCCACTTGTAGAGCTCCTCAACTCCGAAAATATTCAAGCACATTTTTGTTTGTCGCCATCACTTCACCTCAAAACTCAGAATTGGATTTTGTGATTAAATTCCATACAAAAACTGTAAAATATAAAACTTGGCCTCTGTCTGGCGCACGCAATGATGATGCAGTGAATAGTGACGATTCTCTCTGACCAATCAGCAGTCTGTTGTGTTTTCACGTTACATTTTAGTATCCCTCAGCTCGCTTGGAACCTTGATGGAGGTGCGGTGATACCAAAACAAAGCTGAGTCGAGCCAAAGGGGCTCCGCTCAGACTAGCTTGGTTTGAGGGCGTGCCTGACCACCGCTAGCCGCTTGGCAAGCTTTATGACGAGTTTTCATTGTGACGCCACAAGTAAAGGAAGTGAAGGGCTGGACTACAAACGAGCTGTTTTGAGGCAGTTCAGAGCAGAGCTTTCTGTGGGAGATGGGAACTCCCTTTGGACTGGACTTTGGGCTTTTTCACTTTGCAAACCTGTTACATGCACAAAAAAGATATATAACTCAATAAAGGAGAGGGGAAAAGCCAAAAAGCATAATACCACCTCTTTAACAATAAAAACAAAATTACTTTGTGTTTGTGTTCTTGCTTGCAAAGAATATTTATTTGTCCAATATTTGTTGAAAAAATGTCTACCCCCAGGATCTCGGTCACAGACAAGTGTCTTCCTAGGCCTGCGTACTTCCTGAGGAACACAGGCCATTGACAAAAGCACATCATCCCCTTTTTCGATCCAATTAACAGCCCCTTAAGCCTTAACCTCTTGTTCTTTGCTACTTCACCACGTCACTCTAGGTCTTCCTCTGTTTCTCTTGCCTTAAGGGTTACATTTTAATGCCTGTTTGGTGATTGATTTATTTTGTCTTCTGAGTTTGTGGCCTATCCAGCTCCCCTTCCTTTTCCTTCTAATTTAAAGTTCAATGGGTTCTTGCCTAGTGCATTCCCACAGGTTGGTGATGGTGTCTGGCCAGTAGACTATGAGGCGTCGAAGGCAGTGGTTTATGAATGTCTGTAGTATGTTGGTGTAAATTTGTTTTGAATAAAAAAAATTGGTTTAGTTTTTGGTTTAGTTTTCAGTGCTAGTGCTAGTGGGTTTCCCAGGTGTTATTTAGGATGTTGAATGCTGTTCTTGCCTTTCCCATTCTGGCTATGACATCTTCAGCCATCCCTCAATCCACAGTAATTATGCTCCTAAGATATGTAAAGCTGTCTACCTCCTCTAGTTGGTAATGATCTATGATTATTAGTGCATTGTTCATATTATTGATGAGCCTTGAGCCTAGGTGTAACAGCAGTCCTTTCTAGTTTGTGTGATATATATGTGATATATATCCCCCATCTGTTGGTGAGTATATGCAAGTAGTGCTATATCATCAGCAAAATCTAGATCCACTAGCTGTTCAGGCAAGTGTGCAGCTCAGAAAAGGGGCATGGCTTAGCCCCCCCTCCGCATTCCCTTCTTCTGTGGGTTTGGCGGCAACAGAACTGTGGAGACGGATAAGTGAGGGTAAATGGGAAAAGGATGGTATAGAGTCCTTTCTCTTAGCCTTTAGTATTTGAAAGATGGTTTTGCTTTGTCATTATCTGATCCTGCTCTCAGGATAGAAAAACAATTACTGCAACTATTGAAGAAATAACAGTAGTTTTGGAGAGTGAAACAATCTGCGCATGAATTATTTTAGTTTGTTTGGTGTTTACTTTTGGGTGTATTTTTTGGTTCCGATACCTCTTTGGTAGCCCGGTCAGTTCAGATTTCTGAGTTCCGGATAAACAAGGCTCTGCTGTAGATACAAAGCCTGTTTCAGCGAGGACTTGCCTGCCAAAGGGTTTTGTACTAAACCCAACTGAATCAAGCAGTGCACTAGTTGCCCAAGCTTCCCCTTCCTCTTCCTCTAGTAATTGCAGTGCCATTTAAATTTAAACCTTTCTGAAACAGACACATTTTTTTTCACCTCAAAACCTCCAACACTATCCCACAGTATGGGAGAAATGCTTTGGATGTTTTTAGTGTTACAGGAATTTCAGTACCATACAATTAGTTTTATAAGACAATGGATGCTTAGACGCTATGTTGGCCAAGTCCTGTTTTACGATGGATGTAAGAACACTACTGGTCTTGATGTCCAATATGGAAAACTACAGACAGTGTACAAACAGTGTAATTGGCACAGACATTCATGTCAAGGAAATCATGGAAGTCATTTAACATGTAAATGTCTCCTAGACAGGATATATTACTGTCACATAGTGTTCAACATACTACACCACCAAGATATGAAATTCTAGTCCCTTCCTAAATATTACTATTTAGGTGTTCACATAGTGCTGGATATATTGCAGGTATTTTACAAGCATGTTACATGAATAGAAGTAACTGTGTGTCAAATAATGTTCCTGGTATTCATCCTTTTCATCATCATTAAGATCTTTCCCTTCTTACCTCATGTCTGAGCCTGTCTGGAGAATGAAGATCAGGTGTTCCACATATCCAGAAAAGGCCAAGATGGAAAATAACAATGGAATAACAATAGAAACTGGAGGATGGTGGTGCCGAAAATGATGATGTCACTAGCCCTGAATTTGCAAGGCCTTCTAAGGACAGTCTCTGTGCTGTCTGAGTGCCTCGAGTGGAATGTGAAGTAGCAAGTGGCTCATATACCGCATGCAGTAATTAGAATATGATTTAGGCTGATACCATTGGTGCTGCTATGCACTCGCTGGATGTTGGAAAATTGTTTGTGGTAGCTTTCTTCTCCTACCCCTTTATGTTTCTACTGGATCTATACAATTGCACCACATGCAGTACACCGCAGACTTGTCTACAGGCTAAAAACGCTGCTGTTAATGTGTGTTTATTTGACAATTCTTTCATGATGTGGCCACTACTTTCTTTACAGCTTTTCACACATGTATACATGTCTGTCATATAAGTCATACCGTAAACGTCAACTCCGACCTTTGTGTGTTTACTTTATAGACTGTAGCTTTTATTGTTTCAACTCAAAATCACTCCTGCTGATTGCTAAAGTTTAGCCAAAAGGACATGCCCGTTAAAAAGGAGATGGTGTGTATGTGTGTGTGTTTTCATTGGCCTGCCTTTGTTTTGACAGCCCTAAAGGCCCTACTGTGCTTTGTCATGTGTGGGAGTTGTCATGTCATGAGTATGACCCCATAAACACAGACCACATTTATGAATGCTGAGAGGTGTTTCTGATACTGTTTAATATGAAGGAATATGTTGAAATTTATGCTGCAATAACAAAGCTTCCTAGTGAAACAGAGCCAATACTTGGGATTCTTCTGATATTACAGTCCAGATTCACCTTGCGACTGCCACACCCTAAATCACACAGGCAGGTTACATCTTTTTACATAACAGCCTACTTCCCCCGTAGTGTATCCTCTCCTCCATCTTCCCTCCTGCTGTCGAACTTTCCCAAAACCTACACACAGATACACCCAGCCCTGCCCCTGTCTTTCTCTCTTCCCCCAACACACACAGACACACTCTTCTAATCCATGCCATAGTTGATAGGTAATAGGTCTGATGGTGGGTAGGTGTCAGCCACAGAGCCCAGTCTAAGCTGTTCCAGTTTAGGACTGCCATCAAGGGCTTTGGCCTGTCAACCTGTTCTAGCCAATCAGATCTGGAGTGATCTTACTGGCTGGACACCTCTCTGTGGAGTCCTGATTGGCTGAGAGAAAGGTAAACAGATGGACTGG